TAATAACTCCACCTTATCATAATCACTTTATCATATGCATTGATATTGAACGCATTTGTCAATTAATCGTGGAAATACTTTGATTTTATACGTATGTCTAGCTGAAAAATACTGCATTACATTACGACGTCGTAAATATATTATTGGTGATTCGTTGCAATATTTCCTATTTTGTGTTATCACTGATGTTATATGATGCGACGTAGTAAACAGAGCAGGAGGTTAATAAGCTTCGTTCTCATGAAAAGATACTGCATAGGGACTATATTTCCGATAATTGCTTGATCTATTTTCAGGCAGAAATTCGAAGTGGCAGCAACTTCTAAAGTAGAGTGAGTGAGTGAGTATGGTTTTACGCCGCTTTTAGCAATATTCCAGCAATATCAAGGCGGGGGACACCACAAATGGGCTTCACGCATTGTGTCCATGTGGGGAATCGAACCCGGGTCTTCAGCGTGACGAGCGAACGCTTTAACCACTAGGCTACCCCACCGCCCCTCTAAAGTAGATATGCAACTTTATCAATCGTAAAAACGAATGGTAACAAATGCCCAATGGATCACGGAACGAAGTTTTTTGTGGGATAGTGGTGTATAACGTTTGATAGTTTTGATGGAACTGAGATCGCAAAAAGTAAAACAAATGCTTTGAATTTTTGATTTGTGATATATTCCTCTTGTCACGAGACAGCGATTTACTCGTACGAGACATGTGTCTCTTTTGTGGATATTAAGGAGGTTTGGATTGCAGTTACTATGCAAAATCAAAAATAACAATACAGTTCATTTCTAACAAAGTATAAACATTTAATGTAGTGATACCTTCATATGATGGTTAAAACTAATTCTATAATGTAATAGTAGACAAAAGTAAATGGTTCATGAATCCATACAGACAAAACAGATTGGTTTTATGTTTGGTCAAACGTGAGGAGCTTTCTCACGGGGATGTCTGATGAGAAGGTAGCAATCGATTTCACATTAAAAAATAACCCTATCACTGTGTTTTTGTCTGATGGGTTTGCCTTGAACTATTGATAAAGATAGACATAAGATTGAACACAAATGATTGATAGGTTTATCCTTTCAAATTGTTTTTAACATAGCCTTAAAATGAAACCCAAAGCAAGGTATTAAAACCTGTAAAATATACACAGGTCGATAGCAACGAGTAATAACAGGCCGTTGATATTTGTGACTTTGATATACGCATGTTTAATGAGTCCCAAGACCATTAAACAAAATCCATAAAGATTGGAAGTGGCAAATTTCAAATTTCAATTTCAAAAAGACGGGACCATCATAGTATTATGAAATATTTTTTAGAAGCAGCACAGTTTCATTTAATCATACATAAAGGGAATTATAGATAATTGTAGTCATCAGTACAATATGTTTCTGCTTTTGGAATATTGGGTATGATCATTGTTACAATAATTCAGGATCAAGTGTAGCATTTGTGTCTAACGTTTCAGGTTTTTATCATGTGAAAGCAGTATACAGGTTGAGTTGTTATATGGTGTTGACGCTTCACTTCATTCCGACAGCTGCTGACATATCTCAGATCATGTCTTTTCTGAGCAATAGCAAACAGACGCCCTGATGTATGATCCGATTAAAACATTTTTCTTTTTCCGTACGTAGCCAGGGACATCAATCAAATGCCAACAAAGTTCTATTCTAGTGGACTCTGGGAATGAAGTAGGCGTCCCGTTGACAGGGTTTGACATCAGTGACATTTAATATTCAATATGCTCGGATTTATAGACAAGAATTATGTCCATACGTCTGCATTTCATCTGCCGGATGAAATTATGTCATCTTTATTTCATCCCTGGATCACATATCAAGATTCATATAAAGAGTTGTGGTCACATTTGGCATTTGGCATTAGTAGCAACAGCATTTGCATACAGCCTGCAAGACAGATTTCGTGCTAACCATTCCTTCTTGCACGGAATTAGTTGGCTTCATATTGGTATGTTTGAGGTGCTTGATAAAAATATGTCTTCATGAGAACATCGATATTTATCATATGAAGCATCTCAGCAGATACAATTAACTGTCCTCACCTCAAATACACTCAAAAGTAGTTGCTGTGACATATTGTTGCATGCACATATGATGACAGTATATTTTAAGAACGATCAGCTGGCGCATCAGTCCCACACACAATAAGGTAATATTCTGGACGTGAGGGCATATGTATCTTTACGCTAAGAGTGGACACCTAACACTGCTGATCATATTCGTGAGTAGAACGTATGTACGGAAAGTCCCTTTACATCTTCCTCGAAGAAAGCACTGACTTAAATCTGCATCATTCCACATGCGTTCAGGTTTTTGTATCCTGTTCCGGAATCACATGTTAGACTGCATAAAAACTCGTTTCAAATTGTCTTGGCTCTTTGATGAAGCATCAATGACACACAATTCTTTCCTCGTCATCAGCCATCCCGTTGCTTTGAGGAAAAAAACACGGCATGCATTATTTATTTTTATTGCTGTTTAATTGTTAATTTCAATCCCCAGACTGAGTCGTACATTGAATTTGACTGGCTTAGCATAAAAATAGTAACGGCAGTTACCTGCTGAAGCAGGTAATGTTTTATGTTACGTTAGGTGATCTCAATTATAATGACTAAAAGGGAAAAAAGGAAATTCGAGTGAATTCCTTCGTAAATATTTTAACTAATCTTGAAGAGATAACCTGTGATTTGAACAATGGCATAACCGAAATAATGGTTGTTTAATGACCTCAAACCAAATAATGACAGTCGTTGATTCTAATTTTGAAGCCCTGTAATGGATATGTGCATGTCTGAAAACAATGTTCAAGTATTAGATTAATTTAAGATCCCATAAACCGAAAGTCTCGTTACCATCATCAGACTTGATTGAAACAACAAAGAAGTCTATGCCGGTGTAACATGTGTTAACTGGAGAAACTGAAGGCCAAGTCAACTTCCGCTCAGGAATTTACTGAGCAGAGTTGCGCACATACACATGTCAGAACGCTAATATAATTTGTTCGAATACTGATCCTGTCTGATTAATGTTAAAAGTTTGTCAGCACCATGCACGTGTTGGTGTTATGAAAGTTGTAAATGTCTGAGCCGGACTTTCAACATCAAGCTGTCAAGCTGTCTGCGATAAAAATACAATTATCGACCTTGCAATGATGTTGCGTCGTGAACGCTGTTTGTCGTTTTCCGGTAGCCAGGCCTACAGTACAGCTGCAGTAAACGACAAATACTGCCTTTTATTAACATTAATAAACGTCGCTTTCTTTCATTGTTTCTCGACAGTAAGTACCAGCTTTGCAAAAATGTGTTATCTTTAAGTTACTTAAGCGTTGTAACGACTGCGCTATATTACTATGTGAAATACTTATCTCGCTTAGGCTTGGTTTGCAGGAACAAGAGGACGCCACTATTCCCTAGATATTGTAGTTATAAATACTATACATTTCCGTGTACAAGCAAGCCATCAATAATCACCTGATTATATCTTCACAACTGCCAGTTGGAATCAGAGTGCAATTCACAACCCCCAAGACGGAGATCGCGGTGTCAGAAAGTGACATTATTTGTCGGACAGGTGTATATGTGGGTCTGTACTCCGTGGAGAACGTTTCAGATATTGACTAACCAGGATAAGACACTGATGTCGGTTAAATGAGACCAGTGTTTACGACTGTTCGACTTTACGACTGAAATTGACATGTCCACAAGCTAACGGTGCATTTGTTGTGATTGGATCTGACAGGAGTAAACTATGTAACTATATTACTTTGAACTGATAAGATTAGAGTTGCTCTCAATTTGTCACTATTCACTGGTATTCTTCTCCTCTATGTTTGCTGGACTACCTACTTCAAAGGTCTAGAAAGTTGCGTGAATATAAGTTAATAACTTCTTATCCTCACAGCAATTTGACTGATTCAGTTTTGTTCCTTTTAAAATCTTTTGTATTCCTTCCTTTATCTTGTCGACACTTCTCAACAAAACCTTATGACATATATTTATGCCTGTAAACTGGACATCTCTGTATACACCTTCAAACGTTTGTGTATGTGATAATTGAACCAATACATATCTCATTTGAAATAAAGAACATTTGTTACGTCTGAGCAGGAGACGTATATTTATGAATCTCCCGGTTCAAATGAATTACCTTACAACAGATTAAAGCATATGCTGATGGTAGAATTATATCTATTTTGCCTCTCTTAAAATATTGTTGTTTCAACGTTGTTTATTGTATTTCGTTTTTGTGTATTTCTTATACATATTCTATTACCTTTTCAGATTTATATGTCATTCAGTTAGTCAATTATTCTAAGCTGTCGGTCTTTCTCTTATGAGAAGTCGGCTAATTCTGCTTGTCCAGACATATATGGGATCGATGAACCAATTTACTATTCTCCTGCCCCACATCACTAACAATCACTTTGGTAGGAGAAACAAATTACAGTCTATTATATTGAAGTTACAGTCAGCTACAAGTCAGCATCACGTTTGCATAACGACGGACAGTTTAAGACAAGTCCTAGATTGTGTGCATGTAGCAGTATTTCGTTCAGAATCATTCTTGTATCATGATAGAAGTGTTCATTATGGTAACATTTGTCCATGTGCATAGACGAAGCTCAGTCACAGCCGTGAGCTTTCAATGCGCGCCAAGACCATTCCGACCACTATCAGCTCCAGAAACCTTTTAATCTTCCCCATCCAAGGATTTGCCTTCCCGAAATACCTATAGCTTAGAGACATGCTAGCTTTTGGAAACGTAAACTGCTTTTCGTTTGATAGACAGTATGATTGTGTGCGGAATCTGCAGAGAATTAGAGGTGAACGTATTAGGGGTAATCGTCCCTCGACGGCGTAGATCTTTGATCATGATCAAACGCTTGATTTTCTGGTCTAAACTAGAATATCTACAGGTCAAACAGGTGAAATATCGTTGACAACGATAGAAAGTAGCGATTTCCTCACTGACCAAGGAATGTGAAATAATGTGGTCCCCTGATCCACCAAACCCTTGTCCAAGAGGTTTCATCCTCTTACTTTCACGGTTATTGTTATCTCATGGCCAAGGACACCTGCTGTTATAATTCTACTTTGTTTTTATACAAATTCCTTCGACCCAGATTGAACAGTGTCGTCACGTGACACGGAAGTGACGCCATACAGGACACGGGGTGTAGGGCGGAATATCCTGTTGATCAAAGCGCTCGCTGGTCACCCTGAAGATCCGGGTCAATTCTCCACATGGGTACAGTGTGTGAAATCAAATTCCTGGTGTTCTGTAGATTGTTGCTACATTCATTCTCTCACTAACTCATCCACTCACTCACTCATTCATTATCACGTAACGATATATGGACAGGCCTGCCAGTTTACTAGTATGGACTTGTGGTACAAGAGGGCCAATGGTCAATCAGATAGTTAGTTTGTTTATGTTTCTTCACTTTCTTGATTCCTTGATTCCGTGTTTATTGAGGTGTATGACAAACCTCCATAGGGGTTGACGGCTTTAATGCCGCTTTTACATTACTGTTGGGTTGACATTCGTCGGCCAAAGATTTTAATGAGGATCCGCCAATATTTATCAAAATATCCGTGAATATCTGGATCCCTTGTGTACTTTTGCATATGCATCATCGAAATGGCGCTTCTAACCTTGGGCCCGAGGGTGTTCGTGATACGTTTTGAATATATACTGTTGAGGTCAACGATAACAGACATTTTAACGCACAATTGTCAACACAACATCAGATTCATCTCCATTCTTCAAAGGTAATGTTTTTGGCTTGTAACCTCTAGTCATACCCGGAAACCCTTAATGATGTAAGAAATTGCACAAGCAATACATTTTAAACGGAAACTTTAAACGTCAGCGATAACCCAACGGGATTCCTATAGATGAAGGAGACTGCGCTAACGATACACTTTTTGTACATACTGTAGAGGTCGATGAAACTTTAGGAATCTCAACTCAAAATTCAAAAACACATTTCCACTGCAATTCCTCTTTAAAATGGAAAATATGCGCAAAGGCATTGTGTGCATATGTTCCAATGAAAGCTAGAATGCCATCTGAAGTGCAATAAATGTTTTATATGTTTGTTCTTTACCAATGTAGTATTTCAGCTATATGACCTTCGAGCTATACAGAAACACCTTGCTATTTCCATCCAGTAAATACCTTCTTACGAGACACATAGATTCCATGGGATCCATATTGATACCCGATCTTCCGCCGGCATCTTCAAAATGAAGGACGAGTGCTTCAAAATAGATGTGAATTGGTTCTCTTTATGTAGTCGTCACCCCAAACGCCACTGAAACATCTTCATCACACTACACGGATGGAGAGGGGAGCCGTCAACAGAACACGGTTTCATCACTGTACACTGCGTAACAAACCACCCCTGAGGACTGATTAAATTAATCTAACCAGCCGCTGAAATGGCCAGACATTACTCCAGCTGATCCGCACTTACTCACAATAAACTGAGGATTTTTTTTTTTAACTTTATAACTTTATTTTCAGTTATGTATTATAATGTTCGTAAAGTGTTCGAGTCTCTTAGCATAACGGCAAATGTCTCATGTGAATAGACTAATGACATGTATTAGAATTAAATCCGGATCTTGGTTATATGCTTTGGAGGTCGCCTTCGCCTGTTGGCATTTCGGCTGTAATCGGACAAACCATCGATTTAATAATCAGCGCCGTTGGAGTACCTTAGTGCTGTATCAAACAAACATATCAAGCATAACCACCTGTTCAGCTAATTCGATTCTTAAAACCAGCTTAATACATACGCTTTTGTATTCGAGCCGAAATATCCCCCCTGTTGAAAACACGGAGTAGGGGATTGGGTGTATTTTCCAATACGAAGCACTCGGCATTATTACACCATTATCATAGAAGGGCGTTAACCAAGTGGTTGATAGTCAGACCAACGATCAACAATGACACACATTCACTCAGGTCATCGAAATTCCCCTATTTCACTTTGTTGGTTTGTACAATTATGGGCCCTGTGATACCTCGTGGGTGCCCATCAACAGAGAACTTGATACACATTCAAATCACTCACCTCAGGATGGCTTAAGAAGACCACTGCTGAAATGTTGGTTTGCGCAGCTGCCTGTGCTGTTCCAGCTGTTGAAGCACAACGTGGCCCACCATCGAGTTGACATCTAAGGGTAGGAGAGGGATATGTAAATGGCAATCAGCTCTACCATACGCAGGAACCTACTTATCTTCATTAGTAGACTAAAAGAATATCATCGTTCTAAGAACAGACAATTTCTGACAGTTAGTCATGCTTATACGGGATAAATGGTCAATTCTTGGCCAAGAGTTTAGATCAATATGTTACGATATCAGTGGCAAATAATGATATGCTATGTTGGTATCAATGGTACAAGTAAATGACGGTCATAACAGGAAATTTGACGCAAAAGATGTCACTATGAAATACTGAGATTCCTTATACTGACTGTTAGAATTGCTATTAGGCAACATGTTATTCATATTAATTAGAGTCAGTAACAAATTTGCGGTTAACAAACAACTAACAAGCTGAATAATATTCAGGCTCGTGTATACGACACCAATGTGTGTTGCCTGTCGTAGAGATGATGTTTCTTAACATCCATGCTGATTGGGCATTCACATTTTATCTATGCTTTCTTTTAGAAGGGAGATAATTCTACCAGGTAAATTTCATTCAGTTTCAAATGTGCCACATTGTTTTAGCCTGTGTGGATTTAATATGTCAGAAATAGTTTCTTTCACCAGGTCGTTAAACAAGGCTTTTCACGGTCCAGTGACCGTACGCCTTTCCGATCATCGCTGTCCGACGGTCGGCACAATGTTGACTAGGACTTAGATATCTTACATTGCTTGTATTTATGTACAGATAGCTCTCAATAATGAAAGTTTTACTTTAAAGTTTTCTAGCATTACTTTATTCTTATCTAATTAAACATTGATCTCAGGAGCACAGCTCTGTGACAGTTTCATGTTTTTATACCATGATGGAAAGAATAGGAGTTTTTTGGGACGTGAAACAATGGGTACATGGAATATATTGTGATTAGAATAAGTGATGTATGTGGCACAAGACCTTTTTAAAAACTCAAGCTCCCAAAACAACATTGTGACACTCATGAAGCACACAACATCACATTCTGACAGCGCATGCAAGGGGTGCCAGATTTACCATTGTCACAACTTGGTTGTGAGCACGGTCATATTGTTTTCTTGGAACCAAATGCTCAAGGATACTATATTAAACACATTTAATCACCTAAGGAAGTGAAATACAGATCATGCGACGATTGCAAAGTGCTGAATGTTATGTCCATAGGCATATTACAGGTTGATACACGTTGGAACGTGTTGCCTAAATGCTTCTGCCTAAACGCCGTTGGCATATGTCATCAACAGAGGATCCACGCCGATGTGGACATCCATGAACTCCAGCCCTCGATTAGTCCTGTTTAAATGGTGTACGAAGGGGCGTTAAACCCAGCTCAAATTACCAACAGTGGGAACAGTGGACATATTGGGCCTTAGAATACAATACTCACTACCTTTTGTATGTTTCAAAGTTTGCTTCACATTGGATGTGCATATGTGGATGTAACCATATTTACATAAAACTAACATGCATGTACTCAGGCAAAGACAGCCAAATAACATAGTTGTGGCTTAAATGAAACCTATTTTAATTTTTATCAACCTTTGAAATAATTCTGCCAGTGTATATGTAAGTACAATATTTACTGTTATACTGTTTGGAGGAAGCACAAAGTACAAACTACTCAAATGTACAATTATTACCATTAGGATGTTACCGTTACAGAACAGCCATCGTGTAGTCGGTTTTTTTTTGTTATACCCTGTATATATTTCAAAGTTTGCTTCAGATTGCATGTGCAGAGAAACACCGTTCAGAATCTGTTCTCAGAAAATGTAACCACATTTACATAAAACTAACTTTATATCATGCTTTCATGTACCCCGTTTGATTATAGTAAAATTAGCGTAGGTGTGGCATTAAAATGAAACCTGTTGTGATTTTAATGAACCTTTGAATTAATTTGCCAGTGTAGATGTAAGTGCAATATTTACTATTATACTGAACAACAGTCTACTCAAATGTACAATTATTACCGTTGGGTATTGTATATTGTTATGCCCAGTGCATTTAATGATATTCTTAAAATGTGTTATAAATTGGCGAATGGTGTGATACACCATCTGCAATCACGTAACGTACTGTACATTTCCTTTTAATTGTTTAACTGTGATACACCTGCCATTGTTAACAGACACGTGAATCACGGAACGTCAACCTCTGATTGCTTGAAATATGACTATTTTCCGGATGGTTTTTTAATGTTCCTCAGGGCTAAGTGTGAGCAGGATCATCACACACAGCGGATTGAGGTGGCTTGCTGTTTCGTTGTAGGAATCAATTTCTAGTATCAATTTATCTCGACAATGATGGGCTGCTTTCCTAGCTTGTTAATTCATCACAATTTTCAAATGCTCCGGGTTGAACGAGACCTAAATTGCATGTGTTATTTTAACGACCCGCTGACAGATACGGATATAATGATCAGAAGGTAAAACGCTCTAATTATCCTAATTCCATGAATAAAATAACGAAATCATAAATTCCTGTCTTAGATTGAGGTATGGTGTGAGTTCTTTGTGCTCGTTTATTCACGATTGGGAAAGATGGGAAGAATCGTTACACCCCCTGATCAACCAAAACCGAAGCGTAATGAACATATTACTTTTTGTATGGTAAGTCATAGGGTCTTTAGTTTCTCATCGGGTAATATATTGTAAGCATAAAACCACGTGTCCTATTAACTCAGACAGTGTTTTAGGCTTCTTTCATGCTGTTTTATACACCGGTAACTTGACAAGGAACCATTATATTGTTTTTTTCATCGTTGGTTGATGAAGCCCTGGCCTA